ACATTTACCATAAAACATTAGTTCATCCAGTGTTTCTCTTGTTTAACAAATAAATTTATTTCATTTTACCTATAAAATACTCACATTAAATGTTTTCTTATGTAGGTAAAAACCTGTTTAACAACCTGTTAAAATACACCAGAATGCAGGAAATGATATTTACTTCTTTAAAGATTTTCTGAGGGACCCCCAGACCCCCCACCAGTGGGTCCCCCCAACATTACAAATACTAACTCTTGTTTTTTGTGTCTGAATGTTATAAAATCAGTGATATTATCTGTGAAAATACAAACTGAACATCTGTTGGTGAATCCATAGTTTTCAATTAGTTATTTTTACAAACTCATCATAAATGTTCTGTTACAGATATTAGTTTTGGTGGGCCACCCCTGGTCTTTCTGTGGCCCCCCCAAAAAAAATTCTGCAGGCGCCACTGCTTAAAGACGACATGAAATCAGAACTTTACACCACTTACTGTCAGTACCAGTCTTTGTCCTGTCCTCCACACCCAGCCGGTCCTGAGCCTGGTTCTGGTTCTGGTTCTGGTTCTTCTGGAGGTTTCTTCATGTTAAAGGGGAGATTTCTCTCCACTGTCACCATGTGCTGCTCAGGATGGAGGCTGTGGGTCAAAAGTAACCATTCCTCATGATCCTAACCYAACTGAGGCCTGTAGAGTCTGAGATGGAGTTCACTGCACAGTCTGACCTTCAGGGTGAAGAACCTTTCCCTCTGTAGAACGATGGTCCAGGTGGGAGAATAATTCAGGAAACCTAAGTCTAACTATAGGATTTCTGAAAAAGGAAAGTCTTCAGTCTAATCTTAAAAGTAGACAGAGTGTCAGCCTCACGGACAGAAACTGGAAGTTGGTTCCACAAGAGAGGAGCTTGATAACTGAAAGCTCTGCCTCCCATTCTACTTTTAGAAACTCCAGGAACCACAAGTAAACCTGCAGTCTGACAGTGAAGTGCTCTGTTAGGAAAGGATGGAACAATAAGATGTTTCATATATGATGGAGCTTGGTTGTTAACAGCTTTGTATGTTAGGAGGAATATTTTAAATTCTGCTGTGAATCCGTCTCTGAGGTCACTGCTGACGTCTCTTCACCCTGGATGCTCCGGGTCAGGTTACTCTGTAACTTGTTGTGGATCTTATTGTCTGTGTTTATTAAAAGTGTTTGTTTTTAGCTTTATAACAGTACGTAAAGTTATTTTGCTGACATTCTTCAGACTTTAAAAAATGCAGCTCGTCTTTTTCTTGAGTCAGTAAATTTCACGTCAGCTCTGCAGTTTTAGTTTTCTCCCCTTCAGCCTCCTTTAGTCTGTTTCTATTTTTAGTTTTGTGGGCAGAGTTCCTCCGGTGGCAGTCGGAGCGGAGCTGTACAGTTCCTCTGTCAGTGTGGCGCACCGCTGCTCGCTCTGATTGTTTTATTTTCTCATGGGCCTGCCGGGGGAGTCCAGRGTCAGATTCACTGAGCCTGAGGTCCTCCTGGACCCCCAGCTCCCCTCAGCTGCTCCATGAACCCAGAGCAGATCCATCATCATCCTGACTGCTGTGTGTTCATCAACAACTGCAGCTCAGCTCAGGGAATTTAATCAAGCTCAGGACTGACTACACACACACAGGCTTGTTCTCATATCCCTGTGGGGACCGTGGATTGACTTCCAGTCATTTTTTGGTAATTTTGTAGCCTAACCCTGATACCTTAATCCTAACCCTAACCCCCACCTGAAATTAGCATCTGTTAGCAACCAGTTAACTGGTGACTCAGCACTTTCCACGATGACTCAGGTTTAACAAACGGTCTAAATCTGAGCTGCTTTCTGTCTCTTCCTCCAACAGAAACAATAAAATCAAAAAGTCAGGATTTTACTCATTGATCTGTTATTGTTCAGTCTGTTTCCTCTGGCTGCTTCTTGTTGCTTTAAACCGCTTCTTCCTCTCAAGCTCTGCTGAAATTATTTCTCCTCYTGTTTTATTATTCCTCAGTCGTCTTCTCGTCTATTTTTCATCTCTTTAATATATTTTTATCTGTCATTTTTTGTTCTTTTCCTTTTGTCTAACAGTATATATTTCTTCTAGAGCGGATTCATATCGTACTTTTTCTGTAGAATTAAATTTGTTTAATATTAAACATTGGGTTTTATTATTGTGAGAGGAAAAAAGACGGAGCAATAAGTGTCCCACAGAGTAAACTCCATTTATCAACATTCAGTTCACATCATACATCATCTGTCTTCCTGTTGTTACATCTCCTCTGCTTTCCTCCAACTCCTTTAACAAGTTTGATTTATTCCTCCTCTCAGCTTCAATCTGATGACCTGAGTACAATAAAGACACAACATAACTTCTGTCTGTAAAAACCCAAATAATCCATGAATAAACCCTAACTAAACCCTTTCTATACCCTGAATAATCTCTAAATAAACCCTGAATAATCTCTGAATAAACCCTGAATAATCTCTGAATAAACCCTGAATAATCTCTGAATAAACCCTGAATAATCTCTGAATAAACCCTGAATGATCTCTAAATAAACCCTGAATAAACTCTAAATAATCTCTGAATAATCTCTAAATAAAGCCTTAGTAAAGCCTGAATAAAGCCTGAATTAGATCAGATAGAACTTTATTATCATTGAACAGAGCACAATGAAGTTACAGCTCAGAACAGCCACTCAGAAGAAGATAGAACAGACCAAACAGAGAACAGGTGCTGTGAGTCATGCAGCCACACACCTGCACAGAGGGAGGAGGGTCGTATAATAAAGCTCCTGGATGTGAGAGCTTGTTCTCTCAGACACTACCTGAGCTTGGTGACCACAGGTGAGGGTAGGAACGTAGACCAACCAGTAAAGCTCCCTGTGACCACAGCAGACCAGAACACAGTCCACCACACTGCAGAATCTGCACCGATCCGTCTGTAGATCTGTCTCTTCTGTTGATCATTTCTTCTTTTTCTTCCAGATTATTTTCCGTAAAATCAGCGATCAGAAGAAGGAGGAAGAGGAGCGAGAGCGAGCGAAGAACGAGGTGCAGATCACCATCCCTCAGGACCACCCGGTCCGGAAACTCTTCCAGAAGTTCAAGCAGCAGAAGGAGCTGCGCAGCCAGGGTGCTGCAGCTGCTTCTCAGCCGGAMCTGGAGAAGAACCAGCAGAACCAGCAGCACCCCCAGACTCTGCAGCTGGGTCCCTCTGGCCCCCACAAACCCCATGGGTCCCTTCAGAACGGGGCCGTGCCCAGCAGCAGTGTTCTGACCGTGTCACAGATCACTCCCCTGCAGGGTTCTCCGGTCTACAGCCAAGCCTCTGAGAGTCCTGCCCCGCAGAGCAGCTGTGACCTGATGGAGCTGCAGCCCAGTCCAGATCCCATCAGAACCAAGCCCAGCACCAGTCCTGGCATGGAGACACCTGCGGTCAGGCCCAGCGGATGGATGCGCCTGAAAAGCAACATGGTTCCAGTGGAGAGGAGGAGGGAGGGGCTCACCGCCAGCGTGAAGGCCGTCTCTGTGGAGATGCTGTCTCAGGAGGTCAAAGGTCACGCTGCAGGGGGGCTGAGCAGTGTCGGAGAGGCGGGAGGCAACAACCCGCTCCGGAAAACCGACTCGTGCGACAGCGGCATCACTAAAAGTGAGTTACGGATCGACCGGGCCGGTGAGGCGCGGACACCTGCTGCCGTCACCCCCCTCCCTGGAGGGGCGGAGTCTCCTCAGCCCTTCTGCTCCATGTCGGAGCAGGCCCTACAGGCGGCGCTGCTTGAGACCCGGCTGGAGCTCCAGGRAGACATCCAGACTCTGGGGGGTCGTATAGGGGTCCTGGAGAGTCAAGTAGCTGAAATCCTTAAACTGCTGTCAGACCCAAGACCTCCTCCTACGAAGGCTCCGCCCACCTCCACCACACCCAAAAYCAAAATACAGCGCCAGGACATTTTCACCGTATCCAGACCCGTTTCCCCCGACACAGACAAAGGTGATGGGCTTTGAAGGGACCAGAACAACGGGTGTACAGACCCAGCTGCAGGTTCCTGTCAGATTGTATCAGAACCACCACTGGCTTTAAAACACAGACTAACATTTGCACACTAATTTACCTCCAGTCCACCTGGAGCTCCACCCTCCTGTGGTTCTGGCCCGGTTTGATTGTACATACCTCTCTATGCATGTCCAGCTGGACTCTGGTCTGCCAAAGAAACCGATGAGTCAAGTGTTTCCTGTAAATGATGCAGTCGACTGCATGCTAACTGAATATAAACTTTTATTGATSTCAAGTCAACGTTTGAACAGTTCTCCTGAAGAATTGATCCTGTGGACGTCCAGGCTTCGCCTTCTGGGCTCTGCAGACACTGAACACCAGAACAGGGTTTACCAGCACACAGACGGAGATGCACAGTTTGGTTGTTTGACCTTTGACCTCTATACTGGGTTCCTACACAGGCTTAAAGTCTGAAAATGTTCTTTGTTCCAGTAAGTATAAAATAAAGATAATGTAGGATGGAAAGGATTTTATTAGTAGACTTTGTCCCCCCTGAGACCCATGTCCTCACGTAGACACGWCTTTTCTGCGTCAGATTTATTGTTTTATTGAAATTAGAGCTCAAAGTGAGGAAAACGTGCCGTTGTTCTAACCTGTTCCTGAAACATTTTCTCTTCTATGTTTTGTTCTAAAGAACAGCAGAGGGTTTCCTGTTGCTTCCAGTAACAGTCCCTCCTCCCTGAGAACAGACTGGATCTGTTCTGGTCCTCAGAACCACAGATCCGTTTCACTTGTCCAGCTCGGCCTTTGATTGGCTCCATGTGTTTAACTTTCATCCAATCACCATTCCTGCTGAGTCACCTGGTTCCCTACATTTGATCCAGTCAGAAGCAGAGCAGAACCAGTCATGACTTCCTGTTTCCAGCTGGTGTCTTCTGGGTAATGTTGTTTATAAGAATCAGCTGTAGCTCACACATGACGACACCAACAACAAAACATTTCCTGTGTAGTTACAACAAACGGTTGTGTTGTTGTGTAAACTTTACACATTTGAGATTCCACAAAATCAGTTTGACCAATTAGAAAATCAGACTTTTCAAACAGARCCTGTGCAGGAACCCAGTGTGTAAAGACAGAATTAAGTGTTTTTGTTGTTTTCTATCAGGTCTAGATTGTGCCTCCTAAAGGTTTTCTGATGAAGGTAAACCCTGAGGTTCAGAACCTGTCTATGCACTGCTTGTTACACCATATTCATGCCTTTCAGAAGGTATAATATTCTATTTATTGCTGTAAGCTCCTCTGTTCTGTTTCATCCCTCTGCATGATTCAGGGATGAGAGCATGCACTTTGATAAAAACTGGAACAACAAGAACACGTTTAGATCCACAGAACACAGAACCCATATAAAGTCCAGAGGACAGTGTCTCACTGAACACACATGCAGTGTCTCCTGGTGTAGGACTTTTCTTTGAGTTTTCTACAACAACCTGCTCTCTGCAGACACTGTTCCTCCTTTCAGCGTTTCTCTGCCGACACACAAAGCTTCATTAAAACTAACAATAATAATATTCATAATAAGACAAAGTGCAGCACAGCAGCCATCACAAAGACTTCCTTCAGTCACAGATTAACATTATTTTTATGTTAAAAACATCTGAAGTGTTGGAAAAAATAATCTGAGGGAAAGATGTCCTGAAAGATAAAAACCTGACAGAACAAATGTCTTCTTGGAGCTGCAAACATCTTTTTGAATATTTAGTTTAGTCAGAGCAGAGACCTGAGGATGATCAGGGTCGTTTGTAGAGTTCCTTCCTATTCTTCAGATTGAATCTGGCCTGGGTGAAGACTAAAATCCTGAGTTTTCTTAAATCCATCTCCATCTTCTGCCTCTTATCCAACGTCAGGTCTCAGAAGCAACAGGTCCAGGAGAGAAACCCAGACCTCCCTCTCCAGCTTGTCCTGGGGGACCCTGAGATATTCTCAGACCAGAGAGGATCCATAATCCCTCCAGAGAGTCCTGGGTCTGCCCTCCTACCAGTGGGACATGTGGAACATCTAAAGGGAGGCGTCCGGATCAGATCAACCACCTCAACTGACTCCTTTCGATGTGGAGGAGCAGTGGCTCTGAGCTCCTCCCAGATGACGGAGCTCCTCCCCCTATCTCTAAGGACCACCCTACCAATGAAGCTGATTTCAGCCACTTGTATCCAGGATCTGGTTCTTTGGGTCATGATCCACACCTCATGACCACAGGTGAGGGGTGGAACGAAGACAGACCAGTAAATCCAGAGCTTTGCCTTTAGACTCAGCTCTTTCTTCACCACAACCAACCGAAGCAACATCCTCATTACTGAGGATGAGGCCCCAGTCCATCTCCTGCTCCATCCTACCATCACTCATAAACAAGACACCCAGATACTTAAACTCCTCCACTTGAGACAGAGACTCTCTCTGACCTGGAGGGGACATTCCACCCTGTTCCTGTAGAGAACCATGGCCTCAGACTTAGAGGAACTGACTCATCCTAGTCATGAACCGCCCCAGTGTTCACTGAAGGTCTTGTTCTGAAGACACCAACAGAACCACATCATCTGCATACAACAGAGACGAGACCCTGTGRTTCCCAAACCAGACCCCTCCTCTCCTTGACTATCTGCTCAGATTTAGATCTCTACTTAGCGCTAACGTTTACTCACAATGCTAACGTTTGAGCTACCGTTATACTCTGTCTGTTTAGAAGTGTAGGAGCTAAATGGCAGACTGACTGCTGCCAACTAGTGGCCAGAGGCCAAACTACAACACAAAATTGACTCCCTTCATTAAAGTTTACATTTTAAACCTCTGTTAAAATTTGAAACAGGGCTCTACAGATTCAGAAAGGAAATATCACAATATTACAGTGTATCAATATTTTCTTACCCCCCTAATATAGGCGTGTCCTTTGTTGGTCCGTATGTGGGCGTGTCCCTTGTTGGTCTGGATGTGGGCGTGTCCCGTGTTGGTCTGGATGTGGGCGTGGCCCGTGTTGGTCTGGATGTAGGCATGTCCTGGGTTGATCTGGATGTAGGCGTGCCCTCTGTTGGTCTGGAAGTAGGCGTGTCCCATGTTGGTCTGGATGTAGGCGTGTCCCATGTTGGTCTGGATGTAGGCGTGTCCTGTGTTGATCTGGATGTAGGCGTGTCCTGTGTTGGTCTGGATGTGGGCGTGTCCTGTGTTGGTCTGGATGTGGGCGTGTCCTGTGTTGGTCTGGATGTGGGCGTGTACTGTGTTGGTCTGGATGTGGGCGTGTCCCGTGTTGGTCTGGCTGTGGGCATGTCCCGTGTTAAGTCTGGATGTGGGCGTGTCCCCTGTTAAGTTTGGATGTGGGCATGTCCCGTGTTGGTCTGGATGTGGGCGTGTCCCGTGTTGGTCTGGATGTGGGCGTGTCCCTTGTTGGTCTGGATGTGGGCATGTCCCATGTTGGTCTGGATGTGGGCGTGTCCCGTGTTGGTCTGGATGTGGGCGTGTCCCCTGTTAAGTTTGGATGTGGGCGTGTCCCGTGTTGGTCTGGATGTGGGCGTGTCCCGTGTTGGTCTGGATGTGGGCGTGTCCCTTGTTGGTCTGGATGTGGGCGTGTCCTGTGTTGGTCTGGATGTGGGCGTGTCCCGTGTTAAGTTTGGATGTGGGCGTGTCCCGTACTGGTCTGGATGTGGGCGTGTCCTGTGTTGGTCTGGATGTGGGGGCGTGTCCCGTGTTGGTCTGGATGTGGGCGTGTCCCCTGTTAAGTCTGGATGTGGGCGTGTCCCCTGTTAAGTTTGGATGTGGGCGTGTCCCGTATTGGTCTGGATGTGGGCGTGTCCTGTGTTGGTCTGGATGTGGGGGCGTGTCCCGTGTTGGTCTGGATGTGGGCGTGTCCCCTGTTAAGTCTGGATGTGGGCGTGTCCCGTGTTGGTCTGGATGTGGGCGTGTCCTGGGTTGATCTGGATGTAGGCGTGTCCTGTGTTGGTCTGGATGTGGGCGTGTCCCGTGTTAAGTTTGGATGTGGGCGTGTCCCGTACTGGTCTGGATGTGGTCGTGTGTCCCGTGTTGGTCTGGATGTGGGCGTGTCCCCTGTTAAGTCTGGATGTGGGCGTGTCCCCTGTTAAGTCTGGATGTGGGCGTGTCCCCTGTTAAGTC